TATTTTTGATATGACCAGCTTCCTCAAGTCTTGTCAAGTCTTCTATTATTATTCTACTTTCTTTTTTATCTACATATTACCCATATGTAGCATTTAGAGGGCCAGCAGGATGTCTTTACTATATTATATTTCACTTTATTCATTTGTGACTGTTAGCATAAAGTGTTACCTTAATACTGTTATTTTCTTGAAGGGCAACTCCACCAAAGTTTCTAAATGTCTGCATAATTGAGTGTTTAAGATGTAAACAGAGTCAATCTGATTGTTTTGGTGTGAAATGGTTGATTTTAGAGACTCAGATATCTTTACAGTGGTGGTGATAGAAACCAGGGGTCACCATGACTACAACACAAATATAGACAATTTATTTACTATGCAAAACCATGAGGGAACCTACATGTGTCTTCTTAGTTTTTATGCATAATGTTGATGTTGGTAAAATAATGATAAAGCTGAAAAATATGTTTTTCTGCCATTAGAACATCCTGCATGTGCCCCTCCGCTATGAATGTGTTTTTTAAAAATAAAACTATCGTAAAAAACGTCTCAGACATCAGGTAGTGTATTCATAAGCATTTCATGTCATAACTTTGTGTGATTTAGCTTTTAAAGGTATTAAATTCTCCAGCAGTCTGGTTCATATCACCACCAATGTGAACAATTCTGCCGCAGTAAGTTTCACTAGTACAGAGTATTTCACACCAATCCACTCTGTTTACATCTTAACCATCTCATTAAGCAGAAATTTTATGAAATCGGTAGGATTCCCCTTTGAATGCAGAGTGCTTTACAATGGCTAGAGGCTCAGGCGGTGTGTTGTATATTCTACACAAGTTTATATACAATAGCAGCTTGTGAATGTGATTATATGTAATTATAGTGGGTTTTCAGTCATACAGTATCTTTCTTCCTCTGTTGCAGACTGTGCACTCTAGATGGCAGTAGAGGTCTTCATTTTTATTAAACTTTGTTCTAACACATTTCACACACTGTCTTCCTGAGAGGACCACAACCCATCCTCAGACTTAGAGTCTAAACCCACCACTAACCAATCAGATTCAGTCTACTAGGGTATAAACCCACAACTACCCAATCAGATTCAGTCTACCAGAGTCTAAACCACCACTAACCATTAAAGCTTATTAAAGGTTACACATTTTGATAATAGTTAGTGTTATCAGTTAAGAACAATAACTTTGCGGCTATAAAATGAGATACAAAGATAACTTTGCAGCACATCAGCACTACTGAATATGTTCATATACAGACAGCTGGGTGATGATGGATGAACATGTGAAGGATTTTCTCCACTATTATCACTGTAAACTCAATTATTTTGAAAATAGAAAAGAGTGTTTAGTCTTTCTCAGATGTTCTTAGTCACATTGTGCTCTAGATGGCAGTAGAGGTCACTAGAAACCTACAGCGGACTGACATGTGAAAAGCATTGAGGAGCATTTAAAGTACAGTTTAAGCTGTGAAACATGTTATAAAGTTGATGTGATCAAATCAATGACTGATAGATCTGTCCTACAAGAAGAGCATCAGTGTTATTGGCTGATCCATCAGAGCTTCCTTTTGCTGATTACATTAAGAGTGCAGTGAGCATGCTCAGTAAGTACACACTCATCACAGCAGTTCACACCGTACTGACCACGCTGAGCAACTGCCTTAGTTTTTATCATAGTTCTAACATGGGGTTTTGATTCAAGCTCTAAAAATCTTACAGGATTTTTGTAATAGGATGAAATCAGAGCAGTTTTGTACAATACTGAACCAGCATTAGCAACTTGCTGCTAGACCATTTTAACACTCGCTAACCTGAGGACTATATTGTCAAATGTTATTTTCTGTTGTTTTGTGTGGAAGTGATTTTTAACTGACTAGTAGAGCTCGTGGCTGCACAATCCTCAATTTTAGTGACATAGTGACCAGCTTTAGGCAGAGGCTCGCAGGACTGTCAGAGGACCTGGATGGCTAATGATAAATTTAATATCATAAATTTAATTTAATAAACTTTAATATTCCTATTAAAGAACATTAGGAAGATTGTTGTGGGACACTGACCTGCACATGTTAATCACTGGGGCTAATAACTACATGGTTTGTTCAGAGACCTCCCCCTGACTGTGATTGGTTTTAATCACTGCCTCCTTTGTTCAGAGACCTCCCCCTGACTGTGATTGGTCCTAATCACTACATTGTTTGTTCTGAGCCCTCCCCCTGACTGTGATTAGTCCTAATCACTGCTTTGAATGGGACTCAAACAGAATTACTGACAGATTTATGGATTTGTCACACTGTTTGAGAGGACTAACTGAGAAAATGTGAGAATAAAGAGGCAGTTTAGTTATTGTTAAATGTAACATAAATTGAACACTATTTTTTTTTTCATGTTTAAAGCACAATGCAAAATGAATTGATTGGTTTTAAAATAGCCTACGTTAAAAAAAAATCATTGATTAATAATAGTTAAATCAAAAATAATCTTCTGCCAAGCAATTTATTGGTAATAAAATAAAATTCAAATGATGCTCAGTATCTGTGACTGTTAAGTATTTTACAGTGATGTAGAATGTGATTATATGTGATTATAGGGGGTTTTCAGTCATGCAGTATCTTTCTTCCGTTGTTGCAGACTGTGCACTCTAGATGGCAATAGAGGTATTCATTTTTAGTAAACTTTGTTCTGACACATTTCACAAACTGTCTTCCTGAAAAGACCACAGCCCATCTTCACTCAGGGTCAGAAAGGGAAGTGGGCATGACATCAGTTTCTTTAAGATACAGACACAGAGTCACAAAGAGACAAGGGGAAGATATGCATTTCAGGACCTCTGATATCTGAGTTGGTGTGTATCTGTGATCCTGAGCTCAGAATGAAGATCCTCCTCATCTTCACCCTCTTCCTGATTTCAGGTAAGGAGATGCTCTTCTAAATAATCATCATCATCAGCAGAGTCAAATGAAGCCTTTACTCAGATGGACATTTGTCTTCTTTTAGTAGGTGGAGGAGAATCAGAGAGAGTGACAGGATATTCAGGAGGAGGAGTTCTCATCAAGTGTGGATATAACACAACCTACACATCAAACCAGAAATATTTCTGTAAGCGTTCATGGTTAATCTGTGCTGACCAGATGATGACAGAAGTTAAAAATGAGTGGATAAACAGTGGAAGATTCTCACTGTTTGATGACACCAGCGCTGCACAGTTCTGGGTGTTGATCAGAGAGCTCACTGTAGAGGATTCTGGAACGTACCTGTGCGGAGTTGAGAAATATTTGGCCAATGACGTCTACACACAAGTGGAACTGAATGTAAAGGAAGGTGAGTCTCTGCATTTGTTTACTCTCCTAAACCTCCATCAATTAGCATCAGCTACAGTGAGAGTGAATGAACAAACTTCCATAAAGATCAAAGATCAGAAAGTGTGCTGTCAAAGTGCTTCTCTACTGTATGTATCACTTTAAAGAATATAACTACTCGTTTAACAGTGTGATCTGAATGTGCTTTCAGTAAAGTGGAGTGAACTGACAGTTAAAAAGGGGGAGGAGTCAGTGAAGTACAGAAATGAGAGTGAATACAAAAGCTAAACCTATTGTTATCATCAGTGATGTTCTGAACAAACAGGAGCTCAACAGTTCAGTTCATGATAACAGAACAGAAGGATGAAATGTGTACATTGGTAAAAATAAATAAATGTTATATCCACATTATTATGTGTAAGTATATGAACAAGTTAATTTCACGTCTTTCCTGTGTGTGGAACTGATGAACGTTTGATTCATGTAAATTCAGCAACTTTTGTTCAGTGACTCTTGGGGGAGATGATTTTAAAGGATGCTGGTATGATTACACTGTTCTGTCTGATACGTTAGAAACCTGCACTGAACTGACAGGTACAAAGCAGTGAGGAGCTTTTAAAGTACAGTTAATGTCTGTGAAACATGTTATAATCCTGACTGATCAAATCAACATGGAACAATTTAAGAATAATTAATCAGAGCTAAAAGCCAATCTAGATTTCAGACTGAAACTGTATCACAAGACTAAACGTAAGTCTGAATTAGTTTGATGATCCATGAGTTCAAAGATTTATTGTGCACTTCAAAAGAGTAAAATGCTCTTACAGTAGAATTCATTAGTTATCAGTAATTAAGTTTGCAAATTGCAAAGCACCAAATTGTAACAACTATATTGTTCTTCTTTTTATATAATTTTTCTTCTCCTTTATTCTTATTTTTCTGTCAGATTCTTGCCGCGTAAGTCGTTTTGCAATTTTCGAGATATCAACACTGTTCCAACTCCAGATCATCTGACCCAACTGTGTGACTCAGGATTGTATACTTGTAAGCTTTTTGATTGGATGCATGGTTTTCATACAATCTTCATTAAATTTAGAATTTTTTTCCATACGAATGTAAAAAATTGCACGACCATCTACTGTAGTTCTGCTCTACCGAAAGACACAGTTTCACATATACTATCTCAGGCCAGGCCCCCGAGTATAAATTCAATTTTGTTTTGACCTGCATTCATCTGTTTGTCTTTTTTTTCTCACATAGTGTCCCATTCATTCATCGCCCCCACAGAAACTCTTATACTTCATTGTTCTACCAAACTACATGTACTCTCTAAGGGTAGGACCTCAAACTCTACTGCGCAGCCATACCGACCCGCACTCCTCTATGTGTCGTTTTTCCATCCGTCATTCCTCCTATAGACTCCCATTCATTTTCAACAACACGCAGCTAACACCTGGCAACTTCCTATGAATGACTAAATAAACACCTTAATGACCATCTGAGGTACCATAGTAATCACCTAGCAACAACCTAGCAGGAAGTGGGAACCATTCAAGCTGTGGAACCATTCTGCGTTTCCTTCAGGAAATGCATGTTTCTAGTTATTTTAGTAATTAATACATTATTTAAAAAGATAATCATTTCACCATAAGCAAACTATTGGCAACTAATGCAACTGATGTATTTGATTGCTTATGACAGATCTGTCCTATGAGAAGAGCATCAGTGTGATTGGCCATATAGGAGGAAGTGTGAACATCAGCTGCAAATACCCACAATCCCACAAGAATGACCCCAAGTTTCTCTGTAGGAGAGTGGACAATGCTGACTGTAATTATGAAACATCTGTTAATGAGAGCAGAAGATGGATAAATGAGGGAAAACTGTATCTACATGATGATGGAAAGCAGATCTTCACTGTGACCATCAACAGTCTGACTGAGGGAGACTCTGGTGAATACTGGTGTGGAGCTGAATCAGACTGGACATCTGATCATGGATACAAGGTTTATATCACACAGATCAACCTCAGAGGTACTGGTGAGTCAATATGAATTAACTTTATCTGTTTACATTCAGAAACATCTTTTATGTATTTATGGAGTATAAAGGTAAGAACTGTGCAGCATTATTATCTAAGATACTGTCAATGAATGTCATTGAGTCTGCAGTCTGGAAAAAGTCAGTCTGATGAAAGCAGATTATTGAAAATTGGAGGCTGAAACATTTTGCCTGTATCCTTAAATACACATAGACAAATGTATTAAAATAAATTGATAAATATATTAAATGCAAATGAGGTTACAATTTGATATAAAGAACAGAGATAAATCTATATGAATAAATGAGGACAGTGTGATGATAATATAAGATGATATTTGAAATTTTCATCTCCATTAACAAAACAACCAGCAACAACATCATCTTCATCATCACCATCACCATCAAGCTCAACTCCGCAGATCACAGAAACAACCTCCTCTACAACTACAATGAATTCATCATTTAAGACTTCAACAGGCATAACATTCAGACTGTATATATCCTGGTAAACTATAGTCAGTTAGCAACAATGGCATCTACACAGATCAACAAACACGTGTATTTCTTCCAGGTCCAGGTGTTCTACCACAATCATCAACACATATCAACTCACTGACCACAAAACCAACCACATCCTCAATGTCCAAAGCCCCATCACCTCCACTGTCTGCAACAGGTAATTACCCTTAAAGTGGACCTGAAACAGTAGATGTAGTTTGAATAATTTACAAGATGCCTGCCCACTCTAAAAATCCTTATAGGTTTAACACTGTCAGTTTTTGACAGTGTGACATTTTTGACGTCATTACACCTCATGAAGTAATCACTGACGCAACGGGAATATGAGGTGAGCAAGAGCATAAGCAAACATAAATCTATTATACTTTAACATATAATTGTGATTTATTTTGAGAATTATATATATATATATATATATATAATTACACACTTACACTATAATACACACTTTATTTGATAGAACATGTGAAAATTAAGGTGTTTCATGTCCACTTTAATGTACTGTACACACATAGAACATCTGCTCATGTACTGTTAGGTTGATCACTTTTAAATGATCAGATTATTGTTTGTATCTGATTCTCTAATTTTGGTTCTCCATCTCCAGCATTTCCGGTTTCCACTGTGGTCACTGGTGTGTCTGTTATTGTGCTGCTGCTTCTGATTGGACTCTTATTCATAGTGACTCTTCGAAAGAGATGCAAGACTCAAGGTACGATCACACAGAAACATGCACAAACATAAAATGGATACTTGCAGATTCTTTTTTGGGCTAATCAAAAAGATTTGGGTTAATCATTTCACCATATATATATATATATATATATATATATATATATATATATATATATATATATATATATAGTGAAATGATTACCCCAAATCTTTTTGTATAATTAGTACCAAAAAACAAGCTGATCAAAATAAACACGCAAATTGTCCTCAAGCCCAAATTGAATTTATTTTAAAAATTTGAAAAAGATTTGGGCTAATCATTTCACCATATATATAGCCCAAATCTTTTTGACCAGCCCAAAAAAGAATCTGCAAGTATCCATTTTATGTTTGTATATATATACACACATGCCTTCATATCATAGCATAAATTCAATTTGGGCTTGACAACAATTTGCGTGTTTATTTTGATCAGCTTGTTTTTTGGTACTAATTGTACTGCAGTTGAATTAATATAAAAAGGAAAGTAAATCTGCAATTATTCTCTGTTGCTCATCTTCTTTACCAACAGGTGCAGAAATAATGACACAATCTTCTAGAGAGGTAAGTACAAAACTACATCACTGATTTTTTTTCTCAATTAATTTGTCAAATGTCAAAATCTCTTATAATTTTGCCATTTTATTTCAGAGTATTGGTAATTATGAAAATGATCCAACATTGTCTTCTCTTCAACCAAGAAAAAACAACAACCAATCAGATTCAGTCTATCAAACCCTGAACCCCAACACCAACCAATCAGATTCAGTCTACCAGAGCCTAAACCCCAACACCAACCCATCAGATTCAGTTTACCAGAGTCTAAACCCCAACACCAACCAATCAGATTCAGTCTACCAGAGTCTAAACCCCAACACCAAACAATCAGATTCAGTCTACCGGAGTCTAAACCCCAGCACCAACCAATCAGATTCAGACTTCCAAAGCCTGATCTATCCACTACCCAATCAGATTCAGTCTACCAGAGCCTACACATCTGTTACAGCTTAACGCAATCATGAACTTTCTTTAGACTCAGCAAATGCTCAGTGTAGTTGTGATGTGATGCCTCTAGCACCTACACTTATTCACTGAGTCATATTTTATTACTTGTTTTACAATTTATTCAGTATTTTTAACCTTTTTGTCAACAATGATTCATTTTCATCATTGATCGCATCTTTGATTTAAATTTGTTGACTATTCCTTGGATTGTGATTTTTTAGATGTGTTTGCCTTTGGCTATATTAAAGAACCTTTCCTTGCACATTTGTTCTCTCTTAAGAATGATTTGTTACAATCATAATATGCTGCAACAAGCAAAATCAGAAGGTGAGGTAAGCTTAGGCAAATAAATGTAAATAGGTAAGCAGTATATGCATTAATAAAGACACATCATGGGACTTATTAAAAATGCTTCTAACTTGGTTTGATCTTTAGAGTAGTGTTTTGCATTTGTCAGCTATGTAGCAAATTTCAACATTTTACCATGTGTACTATCAGAATGTGTATATTTGGTTGTGTTTTCACTCTCATAAAAAATAAAAAAGTTTGATTGATACCTTCTGATTCTGTGATTCAGTTAAAATTTCATGATTTTGACAGACCCACCAATAACCAATTATAATCGGTCTACGAGAGTCCAAACCTACCACTAACCAATTACATTAAGTATACCAGAGTCTAAACCCACCACTAACCAATCAGATTCAGTCTACCAGAGTCTGAACTCAAAAGTCCACCAGAAGTCTTGTGCTGGAGTTTTTAAACAATGTGTCCACTCACTGTCCACTCTAGACACTCCTACCTCGTCAGTCCACCTTGTAGATGTAAAGTCAGAGACGATAGCTCATCTGCTGCTGCACAGTTTGTGTTGGTCATCCTCTAGTCCTTCATCAGTGGTCACAGGATGCTGTTGGCTGGATATTTTTGGTTGGTGAACTATTCTCAGTCCTGCAGAGACACTGAGGTGTTTAAAAACTCCAGCAGTACTGCTGTGTCTGATCCACTCAGACCAGCACAACATTCACTAACACACCACCACCACGTCAGTGTTACTGCAGTGCTGAGAATGATCCACCACCCAAATAGTACCTGCTCTGTGAGGGTCCATGGGGGTCCTGACCACTGAAGAACAGGGTAAAAGGGGGCTAACAAAGTATGCAGAGAAACAGATGGACTACAATCTGTAATTGTAGAACTACAAAGTGCACCTATACAGTAAGTGGAACTGATAAAATGGGCAATGAGCATAGAAACAAGGATCATAATGTAATGCCTGATTGGACTATACACTTTGTAGTCAGAAGTGATGCAGAGAACACAATAATTTGATTAAACAGAAAACCATGACAGCAAAGAAAGTAAACAAATCAAATTTTACTTTTTTTAGTAGTTTTAAAAATTCAGCTCAATAAATAATCTCTTCCCATTTATTTGGTCAGGCCTGTGACCAGTGTGCAGGCCTACCTGTGGCTGCCCCTCTGGTACACAGTGCAACAAGCTAAAGGCTAATGAATTAAAACTATAAAAGCTGCTTCAACACAATGCAAAACCACTGTTTACTGTAACAGATTTCTTTGAAAGTATTTTAGTGTATTTTCATTGAAACTTTTCACATTTCAGACATCCTCTTACTGAGAGGTCAGCAGCTCTTTGTTGTGGTCAGTAAGGGAAGTGGGCATGATGTCAGTTTCTCCTTAAGATGCACTTGAAGACAAGGCACAGAGTCAGAGTCAGACAGATACAGAGGATGCGTACAAGGATAATATCATTCATGAATATCTGATCTATGATGAGTAGAGTGGAGTAAAACTGGTGTAAATTAGTGAGCCTGAACTCAGAATGAAGATCCTCCTCATCAATAATCAATAATCATCACTATCAGCATCAAATGAAGCTTTTTAGGATGTTTCTTCCTACAGTTGTGCTTTTATGTCTGACACATTAAAAACCTACACCAGACTGACGTGAAAAAGCAGTGATGAGCATTTGAAGTACAGTTTATGCTGTGAAACATGTTATAAAACTGAATCATATGATCAAATCAATGACTGATAGATCTGTCCTGTAAGAACAGCATCAGCTTTATTGGCTGATCTGTTAGGTCTTCATTTTGCTGTTTACATAACCTGAGCATGCTCACTGCACTCTTAAACAGGAAGTACACACTCATCAGAGCGGTTCACACCATACTGACCACACTGAGCAACTGCCTTAGTTTGTATTGTAGTTCCAACTTGGGCTTTTGACTCAAGGTCTAAGAATCTTACAGCATTTTTGCTCTTTCTGATCACATTTCTCAGTTTTTAATCCCTTATTAAACTGAATTAGCTCATGAAACAGACAGAGATGGCTCTGATCCAATACTAGGTATCAAACCAATATCAGCAGAAATGTTGAAATATAGACATTTTATTTACTATCCAAAACCACCAGAGAACCTACATGTGTCTTCTGAGTGTTTTTGCATAATATTGATGTTGATGAAATACTGATGAAGCTGATTATTTATTTTGCCATAGAATATCTGTATGCTATGAAAATAAATAAATAAATGAAACTTTCTCCAACCTATCATAAATTAATGTCTCAGACTTCAGCTAGTGGATTCATAAGCATTTCTAGTCATAACTTTAAGTGATTTAGCTTTTAAAGGTATTAAACTGTCCAGATGTCTGGTTCCTATCATCACCACTGTGAACATTTTTTTTTAAAACTGGTGGAATTTCCCTTTAAATCCAGTGTGATTTACAATGGCTAGAGTCTCAGGCAACTGTGTTGTGTGCACTCTAGATGGCAGTAGAGGTCTTGATTTTTATTAAACTTTGTTCTAACGCATTTCACACATTGTCTTCCATCTTCACGCAGGGTCAGAAAGGGAAGTGGTCATGGCATCAGTTTCTTTTTAAGATAAAACACAGATACAGAGTTACACAGAGACAGAGAGACAGTGGACGTGTTCAGGTCCATCTGTCTGACTCAGATCCTCCTCATCTTCACCCTCTTCCTGATTTCAGGTAAGGAGATGCTCTTCTAAATAATCATCACTATCAGCAGAGTCAAATGAAGCCTTTACTCAGATGGACATTTGTCCTCTTTTAGTAGATGGAGGACAATCAGAGAGAGTGACAGGATATTCAGGAGGAGGAGTCCTCATCAAGTGTACATACGACACAGGATACACATCAAACCCAAAGTAACTCTGTAAGGGTTCATGGCCCTGCATGACGAAGCCAATTTGGACAAACACTAAAAATGAGTAGATTAATAGAGGAAGATTCTCACTGTTTGATGACACCAGAGCTGCAGAGTTCTGGGTGTTGATCAGAGAGCTCACTGTAGAGGATTCTGGAACGTACAAGTGTGGAGTTGACATAGATTGGCTGGTGGATGTCTACACACCAGTGGAACTGAAAGTAGAGGAAGGTGAGTCTCTCTCACCACTACACCTGTTAATTATCCTAACCTCATGCATCATTAGCATCAGCTACAGTGAGAGTGAATGTACAAACTCATGTAAAGATGGAACAGCAGGAATGTGAAGGCACTGTATTAAGAACATACCTACTTATTATATTATATTTATCATGGAGTTTCTGCCTTCAGAGATTCATTTTTAGTCTCTGCTTGTTTTTTCTCTGCCCTGAAAATGAATTTGCCCAGTTTCTCATATCTGACCAAAATGAGGTTGTGTACAGACAGAGCTACAACTGTGGTTTAGGAAATAGCAACATCTTTACTATGTTCTTTGCCGTTCCAGCTTTTCTCCCAGTTTCCTCACTTTTACATAGTTTGTATGTCTGTAGTATTGAGTGCTTAAGAACTGGCGTTTAGCATCTTTCTGAACAAGAAAATGGACTATATTTATATAAATATGAAAAGAGTGATTTGAACATGCTTTTAGTTAGAGGGGTGTGGCCTCTAGAGAAATGATGGAACATGCAAAGTCGTAGAGTCAATTTGAGGAAGAAAACAAACACTTCATTAAAGAGAAACAGTGATTGATTTCTGATTTCAAACAATCAATTAATACAGTAGAATGTAACTTTTTCATCAACTGAATTGTCAGAATTTGTGTCAGTGTGAATAGCCATGTAGGAGGAGGTGTGAACATCAGCAGCAAATACCCACAATCCCACAGCAGGTCCGAGGTTTCTCTGTAAGAGAGTGGACACTGCTAGCTGTAATTATGAAACATCTGTTACGGAGAGCAGAAAATGGATAAATGCGGGAAAAATCTCTCTACATGATGATATAAAGCAGATCTTCACTGTGATCATCAACAGTCTGACTGAGGGAGACTCTGGTGAATACTGGTGTGGAGCTGAATCAGACTGGATATCTGATCATGGATACAAGATTTATATCACACAGATCAACCTCAGAGTTACTGGTGAGTTGAGTAATATGGGTACAGCTTTATAATTTAAGGTCCTGTCAATAAATTACAGAGAGCCTGGAGTTCAGACAAGGTCAGTTTACACTTTAAAGTGAACTGATACCACATCGTTTTCAGATTTAATGTTCTGATGGCTGAAATGTGGATCTATCCCTGCTCTGATCCATGTGAAACATCTCATATGAATGTAGCCTGTGTGACATTAGGTCCCAGCTGGGATGGAAACAGAAAGGGCACTAGGACCCAGCAGGAAGGCAAGTTTTCAGATTCGAGAGCAAACGTGAATATCTTGTGCTCTCTCGAGATCTGTAGTATGCCAAACAACATGCTCAGAACGCCACTGTACTCTGGAGTTTCTGACTTTTATCCGTGTGTACACACTGGAAACGTTGAATGAAGTCTTGGTGGTTTGCCCTGCTTAAACAGTCAGAAAGATGAGATACAGCTAATTGTGGAGGCTGGTCACTGAAGGAGAGCTTCCAAAGGGTGTCGGCAGTCACAATTATTGAAATAACCAACAAAGAGAGTGGCTGAAGACAAGAGTGTAGACATTGGTGTAGCCACTGTTTTCCCCACCCTTTTATTTTCTTTTCCATGGCTTTTGGTGTTTTTCTTAATACAATAATGACCTAAGGTTGTACTTGCTTAAAATGGTATCAGTTTGGAGACAAATCTCTTTTATGGGTTTTATTTTCCCTTTTGGATTTCATTTTGTTTCAAGTGGAGGGTTTGTTTCCAATATTTCTTACTGCTATTATTCATTTGTATTGTTACTTGAGGAATGTGCAATATCCTGGGGTCATGAGAGTTTACATTTTAGCCAAGTGAGCACAGTGCAGTACCTTCTTTAATGTCAAGTTCTCATTGACAGTTGGAATCTATTTTTATGTGGCATTGAATGTAATTATATTTTTTTATATTGGCAAGTGCTAAGTATCCCCTTCTTACGGTTCAGAACCTTTCATCCTTGGTCTTTTCAATTTGACCGGTGGTGATTGTGGATAGGTAGCTCAGCTAGCTCCATCTAGTTTTATCTGTGTGATTTGGGTGTGCACCATAACTTATTCTGAAGCTTGAAATTTGAAGTGAGGTACATATGTTTAGGGTGTGTAATTTCAAATTTAGGGGTGTGTTGAGTGCTGTGGTTTTCTCTATATTGGGCAGTGTGCTGTTGTACATAGGACACCACCCGTATTTTTTTAGCTCTTGATATATTTTAATAGCATAATAGGAGGCAGAAATCTTAAAGTATATATATATATATATATATATAGGGGATATTTATACATATAAATGTATGAGTGATTTCGTTAATGTAACCTTTCTTTAATAAACTTATGGTATGAAGCAATCAGCTGTGTGATCTATGTATGTTTAAGTGAACCTGTGCTGGGAAAAAGTACTGCTAAACAGGGTTCTCCTGCCCTTCATAAGTAGGGAGTGGTGTAGTCTGTATTTTACTTGGTAGTAGAGGCCACATGAATATTAGCAGAGCTTAACTGAGGAAGTGAGAACTATGGTGTTTTTTTCAGTCAACATTCCTGAAGCAAAAGAAAAAGATATGATTGTCTTCATCTGTCTGTTTAGTTTAATGTCTGCTAGCACAACTGCCCCTTTCAGCATGTGTTATGTGGATATAGAAAAAGAATGAATTCTGACACAAAAAGAATGAATTCTGACACAAACTTCCACAAACTGGGACAAACTGGGAGTTTGCCAACCCAGTCTACATGTGTTTTGTGGACTTGGAGAAGGCTTACGACCATGTTCCCTGAGATATCTTGTGGGAGGTCCTCTGGGTGTATGGGGTGCCGGAGCTACTACTCCGGGCCATTCAGTCTCTGTATTTCCTGAGTAAGAGTTGTGTTTGTATACTTGGCATGAAGTCAAGCTCATTCAGTGTGAGTGTTGGACTCTACCAAGGTTGTGCCTTGTCTCCACTCCTGTTTGTGATATTCAAGGACAGGGTGTCAAGACGTAGCCGAGGTCAGGAGGGCATTATGTGTGGAGGCCGAAGAGTAGTGTCTCTGCTATTTGCAGATGATGTTGTTCTTTTGGCTGGATTGCATGGATGCCTCCAGCTCTGAGGGTGAAGTGGTTGGATCAGCACCTCCAAGTCTGAGTCCATGGTCCTAGCCCAGAAAAGGATGGCATGCCCACTCCACATACGGGGAAATGACCTGCCCCAAGTGGAGGAACTTAAGTATCTTGGGGTCTTGTTCACAAGTGACGGGAAGAGGGATTGTGAGATCGGCTGCAGACTGGGACAGGCAGTAATGCGGCCATTGTACAGGACAGTAGTGGTGAAGAGGGAGCTGAGCCATAAGGCAAAACTCTCTATTTACCGGTCGGTCTACATCCCGACCCTCACCTATGGTCATCAGCTGTGGGTAATGACATAAAGAATGAGATCGCGAATACAAGCAGTGGAAATAAGCTTTCTTCGCAGGGTGGCGGGCTACACTCTACTTGATAGGGTGAGGAGCTCGGTCACCGTCATCAACACACATTAGTTTACTAACAATAAACCAACCACATCTTCAACTACAGAAACCACACTGTCTTCAGCTTCTGGTACACACAACACACTGTGCAGAGTATCTGCTCATATACTGTTAGCTTGATCACTGTTAAATTATTCAATTATTGTTTGTCATTGATATTCTAATTATGATTCTGTTTCCCCAACACCAGAGTTCACAGCTTCCTATGTGATCACTGTTGTTTGTATGATTCTGGTGATGTTTCTGATCGGACTCATATTCATCATTCTTGCTGTACGGAAAAGACTCAGGCCTCAAGGTACCACCGCACATGCTCATACATAAACATACATGATACTAAAACAATCAAAGTTATAATTTTGAGTTGATGGCCACGGGTTAAGAAGGTACTACTTTGTGCTGTTCTCTCGTTAAAGGTGTGTGTGTGTTTCAGTTGTGTTATTGCTTCAGAATGTGGGGTTGTTTGTGAGTGAGGGGGAGTCACCTATACAGGGAAGACTGTGGCTTTTGGTGACCTCCCTTGGGAGTTCTGTGTTAAGTATGTGCCTGTTGCTTCCCATTGTTTATTAATAAGCTGTTCTTGAATCTTGATCTTGAATCAGAAATATTGCTTTAGTTGAATCTTCTTTTGACTGCTGTTGCAATGGTGATCAGAAGTGGGATGGTATTATCCAGTGGGCAAGAGAAACTACCTTACTAGCTTGAACTCAAAAACAAACTGCGAAGAAGAAAAGAAGATGACGAGAATGAGCGGCGGAGCACAGCTGAAGCCACGAAAGGGAAAGCCTGCGGTGCTGCCAGTCAGGAAGCTGAAACTGGACAGATGGAGGTGAGAGGGAGAGCAGATTAGTGTGTTAGTGGTGGAGCTATACATGATGGCTCAGCAGGTGTACCCCATGCTCGACAGGGCTGTGTAGGAGGAGCTGCTGCTGGAGTATTTCCTGAACATGCTGCGTCTGGAGAAACTTTCGTGGCAGGTGCAGCTCATCAAACTGGCTGGTCTTTGAGCAGGAATTGCTGAGGCGATGACAGTGGAGCTTGACCTCAGCGAGGAGACAGCAAGGCGAACAACACACTGTGATGTGGTGGAGGAGTTCCAGGTGGAGACAACACGGTATGCAGGTGATGCAGAAAAAGGGGACACTGCACCAAGCAATGCCCCAAACCTAAGCTGACAGAGAAACGTAATCCAGCCTGACCTGGCGGGGAGAAAATGCTCTCGGGCTCCCAGGGGCCAAGTATACAAGTTGTGGTTCATACCCATAAGGGAGATGTACATTCGCAGCTTAGATTTGCTGGTGGCGGCCTGGGCCATGCTCAACCTCAGGAAGAATACACTGAGCTCGGCGACAGGACAAGTGAAGTTGCTGGCTGTGGCTAGCTGTATGGCCCAGGTGGAAAACAGAGGCAGTGCACACAAGCAATAGCCTCACCAGTATCATCGGCAGGTTGGACAATGGATAAAGTGGAAGGTGGTGAAGAGGAGCGCAGCTGCTGTTGTTGTCCCCGGTAGCAGTGTGCCTGGCAGTGGTGGGCAGCGAGGTGTCCCACCACGCTCAGGAGGAGGACAGAGAGCTCTCTTGCTCCTCCGCTTTGTTGTGTCAATCGACGGAACGTCCACAGAGCTACAGCTTGGTGGCCTGTGTGGAGTAGGCCAATAAACATTATGAAGCCCCTGCTCTGGACAGACCAAAGGAGGGGGGATGCAGCGTTATTTTAATGGAGAGCATTTCATCGCTGCAAAATTAAAGAGAAAAAGGGCTCAGTGGACTAACAGTGATGGACAGATGCTGCCTTCTGCTGGCTATAAATGAACATGTGTCAGGAGAGCTAGAGTAAGAACAGACTGTACACATTCTTAGGTCAAGCCCACATTTTTTTTCAAATTACCTTGTACATCTTTAATTTTGAAAAATATATTTTTCTATTCTTATTTTGTGACTGATTTAATTTAATGGAACTCTTTCTCCTCAGATGCAGCCTCAACCCCAACCCAACCCCTCAGAGGCTCCTCAAACAACTTCATGGTGAGTCATGAGTTTTAAAGCAGTTTTAAACTCATTGGAAAAGTTATCCACCAGTGAAATATTTAATAATGCTTCCTCTCCACCATAAATAAACATAAGCCTGCATCATTTGCACAAAAAAACAATATTTAGTAAATAGAAACACTACTTATATTATTTTACATGTTGCAGCAGGAGGTCAAAGGATAAAATATCCAACCATATTTTGAGCAGACTAAGGACCCAACAGCAGATTTGGTTTTATCAGAGTTTAGCAGAAGAAAGTTCCTGATTATCTAGACTCTTATGTCATTAACATAATCTTCAATTATGTCTAGTTATGTCTAGATTATGCATTTTAGGGGCTGTAAGTAAAGGGCCCTAAAACAGAGCCTTGTGGGACACCATATTGCACTCTATGTTCAGACAGCACCTCATTTACACTCAAAATTGTCAAGTAAGATGTAAATCAGATGAGAAGTTGTTTGTCTAAACCAACTGTGTAGAAGTAATAACAGCCTGGTGGCAGTTTGTTAGAAACGTTTTCTTATTATATAATATAATGTACAAAAACAACATGCTGACCAAATGTGAAGACTTGGTGACCAGTCCTGATCCAGTCTTTCTATATGTCTGCATTGTATTTACTTTGACATTAAGGAGGCATTACTTACTGATTACTTACTGATCTGAAATATTTATTGTTCTATTGTTTCCTCAAGTGAAGTGGAAAATAAATGCTTTTAGTCACACATTAAAGCTACTAAATGAAACATGACATGATGGGTCAGTCCTTAGTCATCTCTTCAGTGTCCATTGGTCAGTTTCACACAAAATGTATATGGAAAAACAAATCTACGAATTGAACACAGTGAGGCAGATGGCATGTATCTCAGCCCCTCTTCATAGCCTCATAACTCCGGATGTGAGTCACCAACGATCTCGTGATAAGATGGGATAGAAAGGGCGACTCTACAGATTCAGGAAATGTTTGAACCGGATTTTTCTGCTGAATTATCACAAAGAGAAAGCAGCATAAATAGAAACATTGAATCTGACACATGGCCAAGTTTGTGGACACCAGAGTGTTAATAAATAAACAGTAGTTCTTAAACCAGTCGTCAACGCCCCCCACAGTGACAGCTGGAATGCAGCAAAAATGTGTAATCTCAGGGGGTCATGAGCAGACGCTGGATTTTCCACAGTCTACTCTTCCATCAGTTCACCTACAAACCCCTCAGATCCTTCTCAACATATTTATGACAATGACCAGTTACCCACAAACCCCTGTGAGTTTTCAGATCCTGGTTATTCTAACACAGTTACCATCAAACGCATTTGATAAGGACATTTACTCCACATGTTCAGGAGTGATTTATTGCACAGGCTGAAATCCAGGAGCCCTGAGTAATTCAGTTTTTAATGAGATTTATATCTTCACCCGTCCTCACCATACACTGATGATTATGATTTTACATGTTATTCATATCTGTGGCTGCTGATTGGCCAGTTTTATTCTGAACATCAGCTCTGATGTGGATCGGCGACTATCAGATGCAGAATAAGTAGCTTAGAAGAGCAGAAGTTTATGACTTTGTGAAACTTGATTTACATTAAGTTAATGTTGGACTCAATTTGAAAATGATTTAATGTCTACAGGTGAGATGTAACATCTCTCCTTTGTTTGGATTGATAATTAATAAGTGTATAATTATGTCTCTGTGTTTTATCGTCTGTTCAAGAAATGAAATTGTTTCTTAAAATGTGCCTTTTTTCTAGATTGTCTATATTTAGCCTATTGAGAGCCTGCAGGGCATTTTCAGTATTTTGTCTGGTTAAATAAACATTGTATTACAACTTGTTTTTTTAATTTTAATTTTTTCATTTTTAATCTTCAATGTTAAGTTTGTTGCTGTAATATGTTCTGTTAAGCTGTTTAGAGCTTTAGTGTGTGACTGTAGTGCTGAACCAAACCCATAAAAGCTTATTGTACAATATCTCTTAAGAAGAGTCAATAAAAGTTGTACCCTGTGTGAGATAGCATGTTATTGCCGAGTGTTTTCTCATTTCTTCTTATGTGTGTAGTGTTTACAGTGTTTTTGATGGCAGTATTGAGCACTTCAGAACATGTGGTGGTTGCCTTTCCAGTTCAGTGCAGAACATTATATTCACAACCTTCTGTAGACTGTTTATCACAGTTTTATCATTAAATACAAATTATTAAGAAGGTCACTCACTCATTCTGTTGTACACTTCCCTCTTCAGCCACTAGATGACAGAACTCACTGAAATTGAGGACATACTCTACTGAGCATTTGAGAATATGTGAATATGTGGAAGTTTTATTCTCTCAGGTTAGCACTAAAACTTTTTCAGTCCCGGCAAGTCCCCCTCACCGTATTTCTCCCTCTTTCCTCAGATTTATATTGTACAATACTGCAGAGTGCAGTCACACTGTAAATGAGTCTGGCTTCAGATCAGCTCACACTCCAGGCAGCAAGATCAGTCAGTCATCTGTTTTGATTCTTTCTTCTCAGCAGCTTTTGACACAGTCAACCATTCAATCCTTCTGGCTGTCCTCACCAACCTTGGAATCACTGGCTCTGCATGGAAGTCCTATCTGGAGGGGTGTTCTTATCAGTCTGGCGTCCCACAAGGCTCAGTGCTGGGTCCTCTTCTCTTTTCACTTTACACTTGGTGATGTAATATCCTCTCATGGCTTCTCTTATCACTGCTATGCTGATGACATTCAACTAATGCTTTCCTTCCCACCTTCTGATACCCAGGTTTCCAGTGACATCTCAGCATGACTGACATGTCTTTATGAATGGCATCTCACCACCTAAAGCTCAATCCTAGCAAGGCTAAGCTGCTATTCATCCCTTCAACTACAGGTCCTCATCATGGTCTTGCCATCTCATTCGAGAACTCTCTGATTGTTCTATCTAAAGAAGCAAGAAGTCTTGATGTGGTTCTGGATGGCCAGTTATCGTTCTCGGCTCATATCGCGAACCTAACTGGGTCATGCAGGTTTCTCATGTACAACATCTGGATGATTATGAATGTTCATATGCAACAGTGAAGTAAAACGTACCACTTACTCAATTACCATCACATCTAATACTGGAGCACTCAGAGACACAGCTCTAATATAGCAATAGACTAGAATTAGACAGCTCCTCAAATCAGTAAGAAATGATTTATACACTTTAAGAGATCAAATTAACAAATAAATAAATAGTCTGGAAGCTGCTGCATGACTGGTGTAGCCCACTGTTTATTCAACATTTTTTTTTTTCTTTTCCAATACACATTTCACACATCATCTTGCTGAGAAGTTCACGGCCTGTTCTTGCTCAGAGTCAGTAGAAGAAGTGAACATGCCATCCACACACACACACACACAAACACACACACACACACACACACACACACACACACACACACACACACCATCTAAACCACTTATCCTACTGGGTCGCGGTGGGGTGCTGGAGCCTATCCCAGCTGTCATTGGGCGGAAGGCACATGCCATCCATTTTTTGTTAATACCCAGCTGCAGCTACAGTACAGGACAGAGTCACACAGAGACAGGGATAATATGTCCGTTTCAGGTCCTCTAATATCTGGCTGAGTTGGTGTGTATCTGTGAAGTGAACTCAGAATGAAGACCCTCCTCATCTTCACCCTCTTCCTGATTTCAGGTAAGGAGATGCTCTTCTAAATAATCATCACTATCAGCATCAAATAAAGCCTTTTAGGATGTTTGTTGTGCTTTTATGTCTGATACATTAGAAACCTACACCAGACTGATGTTTAAAAAGCAGTAAGGAGCATTAAAGTACAGTTTATGCTGTGAAACATGTTATAAATCTGATGTGATCAAATCAATGACTGATAAATCTGTCCTACAAGAACAGCATCAGTGTTATTGGCTGATCTGCTGGGTCTTCATGTTGTTGATTACATTAAGAGCTCAGTGAGCATGCTCAGTTTAACAGGAAGTAAACACTCATCAGAGCAGTTCACACCATACTGACCACACTGAGCAACTACCTTAGTTTTTATTGTAGTTCTAACTTGGATTTTTGACTCAAAGTCTAAAAATCTTCTGATCACATTCACATAGTTATTTCTGACAAAAACTGATTTAGCTATGAAACAGATTTAGTTACTCAGTTCTCCGATTCCTGTGACACTCTGAGGTAAATTTGCTGAAGGCCCAAATTACTCAACTGTATATTTAATCAAGAATACTAGTTATAATAGATAACAAATAGTTATAATAATGCTGTTACCATGGCAACCTTCAACAAGAAAGACTTTTATTCTACAGTCTAATATGTCAGCATGTCACGAATGTCACAAGCGAAGCGGAAGAAACGGACTCGATCTCCCAGAATCCTCTGGGAGATCACATGACTTTGACGCTTCCTACAAACCCCAGTACACACACGGACTCCATCTCCCAGAATACACAGGGAGATCAGCTGACTGCTGATCTCCCCACACGCTCCTATCAGCGTTCTCGATCGCCCGAATTATGATGTGTTACACCTGTGTGTTTTGATCATGTGACTTCCTCAGTTTAGCTTATAAGCCCGGGCTTTAGCGTTAGTTATTTGCGAGGTATTGTTTCATTTTGTAAACTACTGAGCGTTCTCTCTGTGATCTTGATTTTGTGTATGACCTGTATCACCCATTCTTTTCCACTCTGTTTTTTGGATTTGCCCTTTGGATTGATTGCCCCGGATATCTGTTCTATGTGTTTTGACCTTTTTGCCTGGTGACAACTTTGGATTCTGACTTCAACATTAAAGCTTACTTCTCTTTCTTTATCCGCGAACATCTGAATTCTGTGAAACCGTTACACGGCATGTTACTCTTGTATTGTCATCCAGTTTTTCCAAAAACAGTCACGGTGATTTTTATTCTGGAGCTGTGTAAATGTGGGCTTAGTTTTAGTTCAATATTGTGAATGAAAGGTTAATTCAACCTTAACTAAAGCGATGATCTAAAGTAGCAAACAATTCCTTTCACAATTTAATCCTGAAGAAATATGTTTTTACAATAATTTATAAAGTATATTTCAAAATATATTATTTATAAATAAACTTGTATTAAATTGTGTTTATTGTGTTCTGTTTAAGGTTGTAAGTCTATGCAGTTTTTGACTAAAGCTACAATGTGTAAATATTATTGAAATAACCAGCTTCTTCAAGTCTTCCATCATTATTCTATTTTCTTTTTTATCTATACATTAACTGTATGTAATGTTTAGAGAGCCAGCAGGAATCTTTGCTACATTATATTCCACTTGATTCATTTGTGACTGTTATCATAAAGTGTTACCATATTACTGTCATTTTATAAAGGGGAACTCCACCTATATTTTAAAATTTCTGCATAAGTGAATGTTTGAGATGTAAACAGTCAGAATGACTGACAGGGTGGTTTGGTGTGAAATGATTCATTGTAGAGATTTCTTTACAGTGGTGGTGATAGGAACCAGGGGTCATCATGACTACAACACAAATATAGACATTTTATTTACTATTCAAAACCACAAGGGAACCTACACGAGTCTTCTAAGTGTTTATGCATAATATTGCTGTAGACAAAATGCTGATGAAGCTGAAAAAATACAATTTTTGCCTTAGAACACCCGGCACGTTTTCTGAATAAATGAAACTTTCTCCACACTATCGTGAATCAATGTCTCAGACATCAGCCAATGTATTTATGAGCATTTCTAGTCATAACTTTCAGTGATTTAGCTTTTAAAGGTATTAAACTCTCCAGATGTCCAGTTCCTATCACCACCACTGTCAACAATTTTTTAAAACTGGTGGAATTTCCGTTTAAATCCAGTGTGCATTACAATGGCTAGAGTCTCAGGCAATTGTGTTGTGTGCACTCTAGATGGCAGTAGAGGTCTTGATTTTTATTAAACTTTGTTCTAACGCATTTCACACCTTGTCTTCCATCCTCACGCAGGGTCAGAAAGGGAAGTAGTCATGCCATCAGTTTCTTTTTAAGATAAAGCACAGATACAGAGTCACACAGAGACAGAGAAACAGGGTGGACGTGTTCAGGTCCTCTGATACCTGTCTGACTCAGAATGAAGATCCTCCTCATCTTCACCCTCTTCCTGATTTCAGGTAAGGAGATGCTCTTCTAAATAATCATCACTATCAGCAGAGTCAAATGAAGCCTTTACTCAGATGGACATTTGTCCTCTTTTAGTAGGTGGAGGAGAATCAGGGAGAGTGATAGGATATTCAGGAGGAGGAGTCCTCATCAAGTGCACATACGACACACAATACACATCAAACCCAAAGTACCTCTGTACGGGTTTATGGCCCTGCATGACGAAGCAAATTTGGACAAACGGTAAAAATCAGTGGATGAATATGGGAAGATTCTCACTGTTTGATGACACCAGAGCTGCAGAGTTCTGGGTGTTGATCAGAGAGCTCAATGTAGAGGATTCTGGAACATACAAGTGTGCAGTTGATAAATCTGGCATTGATGTCTACACACCAGTGGAACTGAATGTAATGGAAGGTGAGTCTCTCCCACCACTGCACCTCTTTATTATGTTAGACCTCCTGCATCATTAGCATCATCAACAATGAGAGTGAATGTACAAACTCATATAAAGATGGAACAGCAGGAATGTGAAGGAATTGTATTAAGAACAGTCCTACTGATATATTTTTTGATTAGTGTACACATTATTATATTATGTTTAACATGGAGTTTCTGCCTTCAGAGATTCATTTTCAGTCTCTGCTTGTTTTTTCTCTGCCCTGAAAATGAATTTGTGTAATTTCTCATATCTGACTAAAATGAGGTCGTGTACATACAGAGCTACAACTGGTTTAGGAAACAAGATCTTTACTATGTTCTTTGCAATTCTAGCTTTTCTCCTAGTTTCCTCACTTTTATGTAGTTTGTATATCTGTAGTATTGAGTGGCTATGAACTGATGTTTAGCATCTTTCTGAACAAGAAAATGGACTATATTTATGTAAATATGAAAAGGGTGGTTTGACCATACTTTTAGTTAGAGGGGTGTGACCTCTAGAGAAACAACAGAACATGCAAAGTCGTAGAGTCAATTTGAGGAAGAAAACAAACACTTCATTAAAGAGAAACAGTGATTGATTTCTGATTTCAAACAATCAGTTAATACAGTAAAATGTAACTTTTTCTGCAACTGAATTGTCAGAATGTATTATATTGTAAAGGTTAATATTAATGCTTTCATCTTATTGTTCATAACTGACAGATCAAAACTACATGAAGAGCATCAGTGTGATTGGCCATGTAGGAGGAAGTGTGAACATCAGCTGCAAATACCCACAATCCCACAGCAGTGACCCCAAGTTTCTCTGTAGGAGAGTGGACACTGCTGACTGTAGTTATAAAACATCTGTTAAAGAGAGCAGAAGATGGATAAATGAGGGAAAACTGTATCTACATGATGATGGAAAGCAGATCTTCACTGTGATCATCAACAGTCTGACTGAGGGAGACTCTGGTGAATACTGGTGTGGAGCTGAATCAGACTGGACATCTGATCATGGATACAAGGTTTATATCACACAGACCAACCTCAGAGTTAGTGGTGAGTAGATCTCATTTTGAAGTATTATGGGTACAGCTTTACAGTTTAAGGTCCTGTCCGTAAATTACAGAGAGCCTGGAGTTCAGACAAGGTCAGTTTACACTTTAAAGTGAACTGATACCACATTGTTTTCAGATTTAATGTTCTGGTGGCTGAAATGTGGATCTATCCCTGCTCTGATCCATGTGAAACATCTCATATGAATATTAGCAGAGCTTAACTGAGGAAGTGAGAAGATCTATGGTGTTTTTTCAGGTCAACATTCTTGAAGCAAAAGCAAAAGTTATGATTGTCTTCATCTGTCTGTTTAGTTTAATGTCTGCAAGCACAACTGCCACTTTCAGCATGTGTTATGTGGATAGAGAAAAAGCTTACAAGTGTTAGAGAAAATAAACCACATCAGCCAAATTCTGTTTATGATAATATGAATTCTCTCACAAAAATATAGGGATGCAGCAATACCACTTTTTCAATAATGATACGTGATCCTAAAGTACCAAAAACCAATATCATCTCTAGATAACTTGATCTACCTACTAAATAGGTGCCGATGAGTCATAATATTTATACCATTCCTCAACCTAAATACTGTATTTTGGTAAAAACAGTGCTAAATGTCACAAACAAAACATACAGGTTGGGTCACTGCATGTTTAAACAATTTCAGAGCTGTTAAAAGTCACTGTGCATTATGTTTCCATTCATTCCTTAAAATACCAGGCTTATTACATACTAAGGCTTATTATTCAGTAACTACAAGGAGTTCAATGCAAATACACTGAGCTGTTCTTGGGTAATAGAGGTGTGTAATAAAACGTTAGGCCTGCTGGTGGCCCTGCCACCCATTTAAGGGGTTTAAACTATGACTGAAAGGTTGATTTAACCTTAAATAGGGCAATATTGCTCCAAAGTACATTAAACTAGTAAAAAACAATTCAATCACAAAAAAATTACACTTTTATTTCCACTAATTTCAAGGAACATCAGCATATTTCTATATAAATTTTGAAAAAAAAAAAGGTGGAATTCCCCATTAAATGCACTGTGCTGTACAATGGCAACAATTTCAGGAAATGCAATAGATTCTGTACAAATGATCAAACTTACATATTGTTTGGCATTGGACAGCCCCCACTGGTGGGCCCTGGCCATTTACAGAATAAAAAGCTTGATTAAATTTGATAAATTTGAATTTGATGAATTTGAATTTGAAATTCTTGCTGGTTGTGTTTCATCCCAAACTACTGGCATTACAACTTTTGTAACATGCATTTTTACTGCTTGTCACAACATGTCACATCATTTTGCTTGCTTAAGTTTAGCTCCCTCTACTGGTCATCTGTTTAAACACAAATACCATAAAACAATCTTCTCTTTTGCCAGTAATGACACTGTAATTTTAGCTCCCCTAAAACCTAAAAATACCTTATTTTTCCTGTAAATCCAAATGCCTAAAATGTAAAAGCCATCATTTCCATTACCAGAACAAGAATCTCCAACAACAATATCATCATCATCTTCATCTCCATCACCATCAAGCACAATCCCACAGAGCACAGAAGTAACCACATCTCCAACATCCATATCCACTGGAAACTCCTCAATGGAGACAAATTCATCAAAAGGTACAACACACAGATAATCTACCAAACACTTTTATTTGAGTTCAGTTCTTTCTTTCAACTGCAGATATTTTAGCACCGTCATCAACACACATTAGTTTACTAACAATAAACCAACCACATCCTCAACTACAGAAACCACACTGTCTTCAGCTTCTGGTACACACAACACACTGTACAGAGTATTTGCTCATATACTGTTAGCTTGATCACTGTTAAATGATTCAATTATTGTTTGTCATTAATTCTCTAATTATGATTCTGTTTCTCCAACACCAGAGTTCCCAGCTTCCTCTGTGATCACTGTTGTTTGTGTGATTCTGGTGGTGTTTTTGATTGGACTCATATTCATGATTCTCGCTGTACGAAAAAGACTCAGGCCTCAAGGTACCACCACACATGCTCATACATAAACATACATGATACTAAAACAAAGTTATCATTTTGTTCTGATGGCCACGGGTTAAGAAGGTACTACTTTGTGCTGTTCTCTCGTTAAAGGTGTGTGTGTGTTTCAGTTGTGTTATTCCTTCAGAATGTGGGGTTGTTTGTGTGTGAGGGTGAGTGACCTATAGAGGGAAGACTGTGGCTTTTGGTGACCTCCCTTGAGAGTTCTGTGTTAAGTATGTACCTTTTGCTCCCCGTTGTTCATAAAATAGCTGTTCTTTAATCAGAACCACAGCTTCACTTGAATCTTCCTTTGACTGCTGTTGCATTGGTGATCAGAAGTGGGATGGTGTCCTTCAGTGGCCAGGACAAAAACTGCCTTGAACTCAAAAACTTGAAATCAAAAACAAACTGTGAAGAAGGAAAGAAGATGACAAGAACAAGCGGCAGAGCACAGCTAAGACATGAAAAGGAGAGCCTGCAGTGCTGTCAGTCAGGAAGCTGCAGCTGGACAGATAGAGGTGAGAGGGAGAGCAGATTAGTGTGTTAGTGGTGAAGCTATACATGATGGCTGACCAGGTGTACCCCATGCTAGGCAGGGCTGTGCAGGAGGATCTAAATCTGGAGAAACTATAGTAGCAGGTGCACCTCACCAACCTGTCTGGTCTTTGGGAGGCAGTCGCTGGGGCGATGACAGCGGAGCTTGACCTCAGCGATGAGACAACAAGGTGAGCAACACACTGCAACGGGGCGGATAAGCTCCAGGTGGAGACAACATGGTATGTAGATGATGCAGAAAACCGGGACACTGCACCAAACTATGCCATGAAAGCAGACAGAAACATAATCCAGCCTGGCTGCCATCACGGGCTAGAAGGTGACCGCCATCCAGCTCAGGTCCATCACCAGCAGCCAAATTGACCTGGCGGGGAGAAAATGGCTCTCGGTCTCCCTGGGCATCTGAGCCAAGTATACAAGTTTTGGCTCATACCCATAAGGGAGGTCTGCATTCTCGGCTTAGATCTGCTGGTGGTCGACTGGGCCATGCTCGACCTTGGGAAGGATACACTGGGCTTGGCGACATGACAAGTGAAGTTGCTGGTTGTGGCTACCTGTATGGCCAAGGTGGAAAACAGAGGCAGTGCACACGAGCAATAGCCTCACCAGTATCATCGGCTGGATGGACAGTGGATAAAGCAGACAGTGGAGGAGAGGAGCACAGCTGCTGCTGTTGTCATCCCCGGTAGCAGTGGGCAGCAAGGTGTCCCACCATGCTCAGGAGGAGGACAGAGAGCTCTCTTGCCCCTCTGCTTTGTAGCTTCAATGGACAGAACATCCACAGAGCTACAGCTTGGTGGGGGTGAGGTATGCCCTTGGGTACCCCAAGGATTTGTGTTGGGTCACCGGGATGGTGGACTTTTAAGAAGGGGGCAGTGCAGTGACAGGGCACACAGCCAAACAGGAAGTATTATGCAAAGAGGAGGCTCATGGGAGGTGTGCACCCCAGTTAAAAAGGTTCTGTTTTGTGTTGTAAATGTGCTGTTTGTTCATTAGAGGTAAGTCTATATGTTTCAGGTGTGTTTTTGTGTCAGGGTGTGGGGTTGTTCGTATGGTCACCGGTAGCAGGAACACTGTGGCTGATGACTGACCTCCACAAGGAGCTCTGTGTTCAGTATGTGCCTGTTTCTGCCCATTGTTTATTAAAAAGCTGTTCTCAGATCAGAACCATGGCTTCGGTTGAATCATCTTTTGACCACCACAACAATAAGAAAAAACATGGCCTGTACTATGATGTTGGACTGTTTCATATCTTCACAGATTATGTTCTTGGTCTCATGTTAGTAAGACATTATTTTAGTGGAGAGCATTTCATCAATACAATCAATACAAACTTAGGCCTCAGTGGACTAACAGTGATGGCCAGATGCTGCCCTCTGCTGGCTATAAATGAACATGTGTCAGGAGAGCTGGAGTAGAAATAGACTGTAAACATTCTCAGGTCAACCCCACATACTGTTACTTTTACAAATTACCTTGTATATCTTTAATTTTGAAAAATATATTTTTCTATTCTTAATTTGTAACTGATTAAATATAATGGAATTCTTTCTCCTCAGATGCAGCCTCAACCCCTACCCAACCCCTCAGAGGCTCCTCAAATAACTTCAGGGTGAGTCATGAGTTTTAAAGCAGACCCTCATTAGAAAAGATATCCACCAGTGAAATATTTAATAATGATTCCTCAATAAGTGAAACATAAGCCTGCATCATTTGCACAAAAAAACAATATTTAGTAAATAGAAACATTACTTTTATTTTACATGTTGAAGCAGGAGGTCAAAGGATAAAATCTCTAATCTCATTTTTAGCAGACTTAAAACCCAAAAGCAGATTCGGTTTTATCAGAATTTAGCAGGAGGATGTTCTTGATTATGTTAACGACATAAGAGACTAGATAATCCCAAATTATGTCTAGATTATGCATTTTAGGGGCTGTAAGTAAAGGGCCCTAAAACAGAGCCTTGTGGGACACCATATTGCACTCTATGTTCAGACAGCTCCTCATTTACACTCAAAATTGTCAAGTAAGACAAAAATCAGATAAGAACTAAGTAATAACAGCCTGGTGGCAGTTTGTTAGAAACATTTTCTTATTATATAACATATGTTATGGGACGGCAGGGAGCCGGACCTAAGTGCAAAGAGGAAACCCCATGAGAAAGGCAATGGAGTGTGAATTTGGCACGTTAGAGTTGAGGTGACCCGGATCCAGGCTCAAACCTGGACCCCCGAAACTCTGGAGGTGCTGAGCGTTGGCTTGAAAATCACTGCTGTAAAATGTTAGTCATAATTGTTCAAACAGTTTATATATTTATAATATCTGCTTTCAGTATCCCGTTGATGTCTATTCTAACACTGAAGAGACAGGAAATCTTCCTGACTCAGACGCTGGATTTTCCACAGTCTACTCTTCCATCAGTTCACCTACACACCCCTCAGATCCTTCTCAACATATTCATGACAATGACCAGTTACCCACAAGCCCCTATGAGATTTCAGATCCTATTTATTCTAACACAGTTATCATCTAGCTCATTTGATAAGGACGTCTACTCCACATGTCCAGGAATGATTTATTACACAGGCTGAAACCCAGGAGCCCTGAGTAATTCAGTTTTTAATGAGATTTATATCTTCACCCGTCCTCACATACACTGATGATTATGGTTTTACATGTTATTCATATCTGTGGCTGCTGATTGGACAGTTTTATTCCAAACATGAGCTCTTATGGGGATCGGTGGCTCTATCAGATGAAGAATAAGCAGCTTAGAAGAGCAGAAGTTTATGACTTTGATTCTGTCTAACACGTTGTTGGAAGTGACTAGATTAGCAAGTTATGTTGTTTTTTTCCCCTTTTTCACTATTTCTTCCAAAAAAAGACTGTAATGCTTCTATTCATACGCAGAACTTTACATATATTCACACAGCTCCAGAATTACTCATTGTTATGGGAAATATGGTAAATTTGAAATTTGATTTACATTAAGTTGATGTTGGACTCAATCTGAAATGATTTAATGTCTACAGGTGAGATCTAACATATCTCCTTTGTTTGGATTGATTAGTAAGTGTACAACCATGTCTGTGTTTTAAAGGCTGTTCAAGGAATTAAATTATTTCTTAAAATTTGCCCTTTTTAACTAGTTTATCCATATTTAGCATATTGAGTGCATTTTCAGTATTTTGCCTGGATAAACAACAATTGTATTACATTTTTTTGTATTACAAAGTTTTTTTTTAATTTGTGAACTGTAATGTAAACAAAGATATAAGGTTGGAGATATAAGGCTTTGTTCCGACAGCAGCAATAATTTACATGGAGAATACTGCAGAGTGCTAAATCTTTCACAGTTACTCATCCTGTCCTCTTGGTGTCAATAGAGGCATTCTTTCTGTACAAACTGACATTTTTACCACCCAGCAGCTTGTGAATGTTTAAATCTAACAGTGGAGTAAAATATACCACTTAATCACTTACCAACACACCATCACTCACAGAAACAGCTCTAATAGAGTGGTAGACTAGAATTAGATAAAGTGGCTTATTAAGTGAGCAAAGATACAATAAGAGATCAAACAAACAAATAAATAAATAAATACACATATACATAAAAGCCTGAAAGCTGCTGCATGACTATTCTAGCCCTCTGTACATTCAACACCTTTTTTCACATTTCACACGTCATCTTAATGAGAGGTTCAAGGTTTGTTCTCACTCTCAGTCAGTAGAGGAAGTGAACATGCCATTCATTTCTAGTTAACTCCCAGCTGCACCTACAGTACAGTCACAGAGTCAGAGACAGAGATGAGATGTCATTTCAGGGCCTCTGATATCTGAGCTCAGAATGAAGATCCTCTTCACCTTCTTCCTGATTTCAGGAAAGGAGATGCTCTTCTAAATAATCATCAGTCGAAAGAAGCCTTCACTTAGATGGACATTTGTCCTCTTTTAGTAGGTGGAGAAGAATCTACAGAAGTGACAGGATATTCAGGAGGAGGAGTCCTATATACAGTCATGGCCGAAAGTGTTGGCAACCCTGAAATTTTTCCAGAAAATTATTGCAATTACACATGTTTTGTTATACACATGTTTATTTTCTTTGTGTGTATTGGAACAACACAAAAAAAAAAAAAACAGAAAAAAAGCCAAAAATGATATAATTTCATGCAAAACTCCAAAAATGGGCTGGACAAAATTATTGACACCTTTTCAAAATTGTGGGTAAATAACTTTGTTTCAAGCATGTGATGCTCGTTCAAACTCACCTGTGGCAATTAACAAGTGTGGGCAATATAAAAATCACACCTGAAACCAGATAAAAAGGAGAGAAGTTGACTCAGTCTTTGCATTGTGTGTCTGTGTGTGCCACACTAAGCATGGAGAACAAAAAGAGGAGAAGAGAACCGTCTGAGGACTTGAGAACTAAAATTGTGGAAAAAGATCAACAATCTGTGACCAAGCCAAAACCCTTCTGGGAAAACTTCTTGTGGACAGATGAGACCAAGATAGAGCTTTTTGGTAAAGCACATCATTCTACTGTTTACCAAAAACAGAATGAGGCCACAAAGAAAAGAACACAGTACCTAGAGTCAAATATGGTGGAGGTTCAAAGATGTTTTGGGGTTGTTTTGCTGCCTCTGACACTGGGTGCCTTGACTGCGTGCAAGACATCATGAAATCTGAAGATTACCAAAGGATTTTGGGTCACAATGTAGGGCCCAGTGTCAGAAAGCTGGGTTTGCGTCATGGGTCTTGCAGCCGGACAATGACCCCAAACATACTTCAAAAAGCACCCAGAAATGGACGGAAACAAAGCACTGGAGAGTTCTGAAGTGGCCAGCAATGAGTCCGGATCTAAATCCAATTGAACACCTGTGGAGAGATCTTAAAATTGCTCTTGGGAGAAGGCACCCTTCAAATATGAGAGACCTGGAGCAGTTTGCAAAAGAAGAGTGGTCCAAAATTCCAGTTGAGAGGTGTAAGAAGCTTATTGATGGTTTAGGGGGCGATTGATTTCAGTTATTTTTTCCAAAGGGTGTGCAACCAAACATAAAGTTGAGGGTGCCAATAATTATGTCCAGCCCATTTTTTGAGTTTTGCGTGAAATATCATTTTTGGCTTTTTTTTTCTCTGTTTTTTTGTGTTGTTCCAATACACACAAAGGAAATAAACATGTGTATAACAAAACATATGTAATTGCAATAATTTTCTGGGAGAAATACTTCATTTTCTGAAAAAATTTCAGGGGTGCCAACACTTTTGGCCATGACTGTATATATGAGACAAGATATACATCAAACCAGAAATACCTCTGTAAGCATTCATGGCCCTGTCTGTTGAAGCAATTTGGAAAGACACTGAATTAAGTGGGTAAATAGTGGAAGATTCTCACTGTTTGATGACACCAGAGCTGCACAGTTCTGGGTGTTGATCAGAGAGCTCAATGTAGAGGATTCTGGAATGTGCAAGTGTGGTGTTGATAAATTTGCCATTGATGTCTACACACCAGCGGAACTGAACGTAAAAAGAGGTGAGTCTCTCCCACCACTGCACCTGTTTATCATCCTAAATCTCCAGCATCATTAACATCAGTGATAGAGAGGGTGAATGAACAAACTCCTATAAAAATCAAAGGTCAGAAGCTTTGCTGTCAAAGTGCTTTACTACTGCATGAGGCTCTACAGTATAGAATTCTGATCTTTTTCCTATAGGATTAAATGGGGTGAAGAATTGCATGACCATCTACTGTACTTCTGCTCAAACGAAAGACACTGTTTCACATATACTATCTCAGGGCAGGCCTGACAGTGTTGTTCTGACCTGCATTCATCTGTTTGTCGTTTTCCATCCTTCATTTCTCCCATAGGGTCCCATTTAGTCATCGCCCCAACAAAAACTCTTGTTGTTTCGTTGCCCTACAGCCACCAAACTACACACACTCACTCAGGGCAGGTCCCCAAGATCTAATCCACAGCAATCCTGACCTGCACTCCTCTATGTCTTGTTCTTCATCCCACCTTCCTTCCATAGACTCCCATTCATTTAAAAAAAAACGTAGCTAACATGACTAAATAAACACCCCATACACAATGGCAACTGCCTAGCAACAGTTTAGCAACTGTATGGGATTCCATAGCAACTGCTTAGCAACACCTTAGTGACAACCTGGGATACCATAGTAATTGCCTAGCAACAACCTAGCAGGAAGTGGGAACCATTTAAGCTGTGCAGTCATTCATGTTTCTAGTTATTTTAGTAATTAATACATTATTTAAAAAGAAAATAAGCAAGCTATTGGCAACTAATGCAACTGTTGTATTTGATTGCTCATGATTGACAGATCGTTCGTATAAAAAGAGCATCAGTGTGTCTGGCTATGTAGGAGGAAGTGTGAACATCAGCTGCAAATTCCCAAAATCCCACAGGAGTGACACCAAGTTTCTCTGTAGGAGAGTGGACACTGCTGACTGTAGTTATAAAACATCTGTTAAAGAGAGCAGAAGATGGATAAATGAGGGAAAACTGTATCTACATGATGATGGAAAGCAGATCTTCACTGTGATCATGAACAGTCTGACTGAGGGAGACTCTGGTGAATACTGGTGTGGAGCTGAATCAGACTGGACATCTGATCATGGATACAAGGTTTATATCACACAGATCAGAAAGTTTATATCAACAGAGAGTTACTGGTGAGTGTATTCCATTTACAGCATTTGGCAACTTAAAATTTGATCATTTTACACAGGTAGGTGAAGGTCTTGCCCAAGGACTCTTATTTGTTTAGTGTAAGTTGCTTATCCAGAAGGGGATTGAACCCCAGCCGATAGCATAGAAGGCAGATGTGTTACCCACTGCATTACACCACCCATATCCCCCTTTTCAGTTCAATATTTAGTCATTTCAGTTAATTAGACCCAAAAGCTACATAATAAATACACCATTGAGTACCATTTTTATTATGTGTTATAAGTCAGAGGCTAATAATTTCTGCCTTTTAATCTATTTTCATCTGTTTCATTAGTAATTTATTGTGTTTTTTCAAAACATCATTCACAGATATATCACACCTGACTCCATCACCTGGTGAGTCCAGCATGTTTTCAGTATCATCCATTCTAAGACTTCATGTTTTTTGACATTCTGTTAGAGCTTCATATTGCTGATTACATGAAGAGTGCAGTGAGCATGCTCAGTTTAACAGGAGGTACACACTCATCAGAGCAGTTCACTACAAACTGACCACACTGAGCAACTGCTTTTTTATTAATACAATGCTCAGTGTCGAATCACTTACAGATAGAACTGAAAAAAATAATTCAGTATTATTTTCTAAAAAATAGAGAGGGCGCTAATCTGATTCTAGGTGGAAGTACACTGTATTGCCAAAAGTATTTGCTCGTCTGCCTCACATGCATATGAAATTGATTGAGATCCCATTTTTATTCCATAGGGTTTAATATGATGTCGGCCCACTCTTTGCAGCTATAACAGCTTCAACTCTTCTGGGAAGGCTTTCCACAAGGT